TATTCCTAAATAGACCATTTTGCTGACGACGACCAAGGATATTGTTGTCCATTTAAATTCAGCAGCGAGATCTACAGACAACCTTTAATCATGAACCAATTCAATTTTAAGCTCACTAGAACTTGTTCCCCATTTCACGACATACCCTAGCAATCAAGGAATTCCAAAAAGCTCTTTACTTTAGGTGAGTGCTCAATTATTTGAGAGATAAGATAGACATAGAGATGCATATGTTGTATCCCAAGTCGGATATCTTCCAATCACGCAGAGGGACAACATATGACTAACAAAGATAGAGGGTTAGAGAAATAGAAATGTGCATATGTTGTGTCCCAGGTCAGATCTTCTGATCACGCAAAGGGGACAACATATGACTGACATAGCTAGATAGATAGATGCATAGATAGATATGTATAGAAATATAGGTGCATATGTTGCGTCCCGGGTCGGATCTTCCGATCACGCAAAGGGGCAACATATGAATGACACAGAGGATAATAAAGAAAAACAATTTCACACCGACCTACTTTATCAGAACCCCCCAGTCACCCTATTAGCACCAAAATTAAGGACATAAGTTCGTACGTCGAAGAAGTGTTGAGCCACAGTTCTAGATGATAAGTAACTTTAATGTATCTCGCAGGCTCCCTTGTTTATCTCACTGGTCCATCTATCCAAGCGTCGTATGGTCAGTCCAAATGAAACTATCTAAGTCCAAATGAGTTAACATTGTCAAGTCCTTTCATTGTCAAGAGTGTCTAGTCCTTTCATTTTGAATCCTTCGTGCCTATCAACATATTGAACACAGAGTCTAAAAAATTTAGTTTCAGTGCATTACACGAATTTCAGATTGCCCTTTAACACTAAACTTCATATCACTTCCCAAAAATACTTACGAAAGAAGACATATTTTTGGAATTTTGATTTTATAATTTTTTATGTTGTTTATTTATTTATTTATTTCTCCCCCTTAATTTGTGCATGGGGAAGAAAGAAAAAAAATAAATGCGGAAATTTAAAAAATTTGTCTTCAAAACGAATCATTTTAAGAAAAATCAGGAGAGTCGAGAGAATTCAAACCGTAATTCAGCAACTGAAGTTGCATCCGGATGACCTGATAAGAGCACGTAGATGCAGCAACGTGTTCATTCTTAGTCGTTCTTCACTTTCGGAACGAAGGTAAAATATTTAAAATTCAACACGCCGTTAAATACAATCCCCATTTGTGATCCTTTCTTTCTTCCTTCCCACAAAGGACACATACTCTCAATTAAAATTCTGAAGGTAATGTAGTTGAGAGATGTCTCATATAATGTGTCTAGAACAGGCACTATCAACCTACTAAAGTCTGATGATATTCCTCCATAGCTGCTCCAGCACATAGTGCGGGATTAGTTGGTCTTTGGAACCCAGTCCATTTTGAAGTTGGGTCTACCATTACCATCTATACAAGATACTCTTTCCCATGACATATCCTGTTTATCAGACACAGAAGATGAAGAAATGTTAGAATTAGTAGATGATTTAGGAGTGTGAACTTTTGGTATCCATATGTAGTATGGTTTAACCCATTTCTTGTTTGATCGGACTGATGCCTCAGCACTCGTTTTAGAGCTAGAACCAATCGCCGAGATGACGTCGACCTAACTGATCTTGGTTTGACTGAACCATCTCTTGAATTTGGCATCTTGTCCGACATTCCCTTCTTGTCCTTGGGAGTTTGATTCTTGGCCCTTTTAGCATTCCAGTCACCATTGCGTGAACGTGACCTCGAAGGATTTCTTTTGGAGGATCTCCCTCTTGGCACGTTCTGCCAACCTTGTTTGTAGTAAGGAACATATAAACGATGTGGGCAATTTCTGGCAATGTGACCGGGAGTCCCACAGTTAAAGCAAGTCTGTCTTTTCATATAAATCAGATTGTGACTTGGTCCTTGTCCAACTGAAGTTCGATTCGAAGAACTTCCACAAGCACAAGCACAAGAACATTTGTTAGACTGTTTGACAGATTTTTGTGACTGGGATTTTTCAACGGTGGGAGTATCATCATAACAGGCTTTTGAAACATTTTCAGCAGAACTAGAATTAGTTGTGTTCTGCTCACTCCCATCTTGCATTGCTTCTTTCTCTGTACATGAAGTAGAAGCATTAGAATCATTCATCTCATCATAAGTTTTTGAATTATTTTCAGTAGAACAAGAATTATTTTTGTTCTACTCATGCCCATCTTGCACTGTGACCTTATCTGTACATGAGGCATAAACATTAGTATCAAGCACCCTATCATTATCAATTGGCTCAATTACAGTAGGTTTTCCATACTATAGGTGTGTTTCCCTTGCTATCTCTTCCTTAGTCATAGGAGTGAAAGTGTAGTTGTCATTGAATGGAGGAGGAACACTATTATAACCAATACCCTTTTTGTCATTCCATCTAAGTTGTTTTTTAATCATTGTTTCAACTTTCTTACTTGACACATCAAATTTCTTAAAATTAAAGTCTGTATTTTCAAACTTATTTTCAATGTGTTAAGCTCGGCAGTTAGACTGACAATCTTTTCTTGAGCATAATCATAGTGTTCACATTTAGTGTTGTATTCTTCCCTAATTCTTTTTTGATCTTTGGTTTGGGCCTCAAAATTTTCTTTCAAGGGTTTTTTAGCCTTTCTGAGAGTATATCGTTCATATTTAAGGTCCTCAATTTCCATAATTAATAACGCATGTTGATCACGATAATGTTTAATTTTAGCTTCACAGGACTGAGAGCATGAAGCTTCATTGACCTCCTTTGTACTTTTGTAAGAACTCATTGTTTATCAAAAATAGATTTGATTGTGTAGCCAAGAAAAATGCCCTTTGACTTGAAACCTCGAAAGTCAAACTAGAAAGGCAAACTTTTTGTCCAAAGAAAAACCTTCACCGAGAACAAAAGTTTCTAGACCGAGAATGAAGCTTCAAGACCAAAAACGAGGGTATTTGACCAAATACGAAGCTTTAGGACCGAAAACGAGGTTATTGGACGAAAAACGAGGCTTTTGGACCGAAAACGAGGCTTTTAATCTGAAAACTTGGTTTTTAGACCGAGAATGTGAGGCTTCTAATCCTAACCGAGAAGGCTCGCACCGAATACACTCAACTGAAAACCAGACCGAAAATGTGAGCTGACCGAGATCGCGCGCCGAGAACCTGCGAGGCTGCGGACCGAGAACGAGGTTGCGGACCGAGAACACGCGCCCTAACCGAAATCGCTACTGGCATCCGAGATCTCCTAGGGTTTGACCGAAGACCGAAGCCGCCGCCGAGATCTCCGAGAACTATGACTGAAGACCTCGCAGAAATTGCCAAAAACATGAAATTTTCCAATTTTAAGGCTAAACTCGATCAAAAACTCAAAAATATGAAGAACACAAAGAACAAACAGCCAATATTTTGTCAAAAATAAATAATAAAAAAAAAGCACCCGGAAATCCAAGAAAAACTTCAAGAAACTCTTAATATTTTGCAATAACCCGATTGATACCAATCATTAGCTCTGATACCAATTGTAAGTCCCAAAATCTTTATGTATCAATCGGATTCACTGTGATGGTGCGGAATCTCAATCAAGTGAATGATGCAAAATATGATATGAACCAAGAACACAGGATGAATCTTCAATACACACTATATTCGATAGCCTTGTACATAAGATTCTGATTACACTTGGTTTTTCTCTCTGTTTCTCTCTAGAACGTGTTCTTGGCTTATGGCAACACCCAAAAACATCTCTCACTCTTTACAAGGCTTAAATAACACTATATATACCTAGACCTAATAACAAAGACCCAACCCAAAACCCAAACAAGACAATATTAAGCCTAACCGAAATCACATGTGATTTCGGTCCAAACAACACCAAAACATGGTGTTTTCGGTCCTAGACCGAGAACTCTAATAGCTTATGAAAAGCAAAGTATAAACCACAATTTATGACCTAACAATCTCCCATTTGGTTTATAACTTTCTTTTCTTTTCAATCTTCTCTTCGTTCTTGACTTCAACTTTTATCTTTGATTTCTTCACAAATTCAAGATGAACATATGAATTTCTACATGAATAACTTTATCTTGAACAGTTGGACTTCCTTCAAAGATTTGACCTTGAACACACATTGGGTGTAGAGGCTTCTTGTAAAGGTTCTTGAAAATCAGCACTTTCAGCTTTGAAAAACTTTAGAGAAAATAATTACAGAGAGATCGATTCTTCTGGATCACTTCAACAAGTTCATAGACAGCAGCAAATTGATTGAGGAGACTTCAATGCAATTCGTCATATAACTTCAAATACAGTTTCACCTTGTTTCTGGGGTTGAAAAATTGTATGTTGAAAAATAATCTTCACTTCTTATTCCTTCAAATAATTAACTAACTAGTTAATTAATCATGTTTTTTGGACTATTCGATTTTTATTTATAAATTAATTTAAAATCCAATATTATTATAAAATTTTGTCAAAAACCAATCCAAAATTTTAACCAAATTGTCGTATTAAGCAATTCGGTTTTAACCAAATAATAAACCATCATAAAAACAACTTGTTTTCTTTCATAAAAATATTTATTAGCTTTATTTTTATTAGCTCATAAGACACCAAAATGTTTTGTAAGAAAGAGAAGTGTTTAAATTATCATATCAAAATGAAATAAGCCGATTAGCTGTTTTTTAAAAATTAAAATGACAACGACACCAAAATGCTATAAGTTAATAACTTGAATAAAACAAGTTATCTAAAACTGTTTATTTAAAATCGACAATCATAAACAATTTTGTACAATCCACACACTCAAGTTAAGATACCAACTATAATAACCATAATAAGTTAATAATCATCTTGTATTTGTAATCTAAAACAACCTCTTAGCAATAAAGTATATAACTCCATGAGCATGTTAGTTTGAAAGAAACATCAATTATAGAAATAACATCTAAAAGCATGAGACCCAAGTAATAGAAGATAAAAAAGTTCACTTCCTATTTTTTATAAATCACAAACATAGATATCATCAAATCCATATAAAAATAAAGCTCACTAACCTCAAAACACTACCACTAATCTTCTATTAAATCTAAGTGTACATATTAATATTACAAACTTCTTTAAAACACACATCATCAGGACAGAAAAAATACAGCCTGCTACTTACTTTACTTACCTCTCTTACTCTCTCACTTACACTCATAATTTATAATAATAAATTAGAAACCCAAAAAACTTTAAATATATTTTTTTCTATCTAAATCACCTCATATTGCAGAGTCACAACAAACACACTAATCAAGAGTTATGGCAGATTTGTAAATAACACCATCATCATCATCTACGGGAAAAGAAAAGAAAATCTGGGTGATTGACATGAAGGCTAGCTAGCCACGTGTCAGCTTTCTGTAAAAGAGAAGTCAATAACAGCTGTTCATTGTTGATCCACAATGGTGCTTTTTAACTTGTATGAAGCTAAACCAAACACTGGTAGGGACATTTTTGGAAAGCCATCTGTTTCCCCACACTCGTTTCCTGAAATAATATAATAATAATTTTTATAAAGTTAAATCATAAATGTATGAGAATGTTATATAAATATAGAAAAGAAAAAGAAAATACAAACCTGTCATGGGTGTATGGAGATTATGAAAAGTTAGAAAACAAGCATCGAGATCTTTCAATGTGGGCCCCATTGGAATTCTATAAATTGGATACCTAATTTAATCACCACAAAAAAGGCACAAATTAGATATGATTTTAATTTTTTTATATGAACATAAAAGAGGTAGTGTTTGGTATGTAGTAATCGAAAAGGGAATGTAATTGAGCATTTGTTACATAGGAATGGAATGGAGGATTCCTCATGTGATTCCAAGGTTGTTTTTTTTCTAAATCTATCAATTTACTTCCATTTTGTTTTACGATTGTTCACAACAAACATGTTGGAATGACTCATTCCATTCCATTCCTTTGTGATTCCATTCCATCATACCAAACAGACCCAGGGAGTAAGCATACCATGCAACCGATAACCAACTAGAAGGTAACAAATCGCAACTTTTCATGTTTTTCAATTCGGGGAATTTGCGTGCAAGATCAAGAATCTACACAACAAATAAAATGTGGAATTAATTTTTTTTTTTAAATTTAAAAAGTATTAAAAGATTGATGTTGACTTTTGTGAGAACAAACCTTATCGGTCAAAGGCTCACGACCCCATGGTTGATTGCGTTCAAGGTATTCAAAGGAGAGGCAATTTTGAGGTGTTGGAGATTCATTATCATCACTAGAAAAACCTTCTTGAAGTGCAAGATTTTGTTGATAATTTAATGATAATTCAGAAATTTCATTTTTTGGGAGAGACCCTCTTTCGGGTTGCTCATAATCACTACTTACATCACTACTTGAATCCCTAAAAAGATTCAACATCACTTTCCTCAATGTGTTGCCTGATCACAATTCACAAACAAGATTCATGTTATTACTTGAATGCAATAAAAAGTAAGAAAAGAAAAGGCTATAATATTTAAATTGTTATTTTATTAATTTCTTGTTCAACATACATTTTTAGAAGTTAGAAGTTCGAACTACTATTAGTTAAGAACTAAATTATACATATTGGTAAACATTGGTTTGACAAGATATTACCAAATCAAATTTTATAGTAATAAATTACAGAAGGCTATATATAATATTTTAGTATATGTTTCTCATGGTATATAGTATTTAGTACATGTTTTTCATGATATAAAAAACTAACTTGTAATATTATTTCCAAAAATATAACATATTATAAAATTCAACTCTTATCGATAGAATTGACAATCTATGAATTTTTAAATCTCCATGACAAAATCCTATGAAGCAAAACCCCAAAATTTTCTATCAAAGGGTATCTGCGTAATTTAACAAGTAAGGAAACGATGGGAATTAAATTCCTAAGGCTTAAATGGGAAGTTGAAATCCATCAAGGGGGGAGGCATTTTGTAAATTCTAAGGAATTTCCATATTATTTTGAAACAAAACACAGGATTTTGAATGAAATTGAATTCTATTCCCTCCAAAACTATACCATATCAATACCTTGATTTTGTTGAAGATTTCAAAGGGTCGCTGTATAATTGAATTCCAGACAAATAAGGCACGTAGTATTGGACCACACTATCACTGTCATTCAATATCAAAGGAACTCCAGCCCCATAAGCACTCCATTCCTTAAAAGATTCCCACAAATCACCAAGAACAAAGTATGGTTGACATTCGTCTTGTGTCCTCCACCCTCTCACATCTCTCTGCAACACAAAATCCAACAATGTGAAGTTATTATGAATGATTAGCTTTTCAGTAAACTAGTTACGTGTTTGATTTCAGAAATTCCTTGATTTTCAAGTATGGATTACTTAGAAGTCATCCCAAACATTGTATAAGTTTAATATGGAGATTAAAGAAAAGTATTGTAGATGATTAATCTGGAAACCAATGAGTTGACCTTCTTATAGTCGACGTAAGGAGCATCAAAATCGCCTAATAAGGATATAAATCTGAATCAAAGGAAATGGATGAAAAAAGAATAAACCTTGGAGGGATACTGAGCAGGAACAAAAGGTGTAATCGATTCCAAAAACCGTTCCAGGTTACACAACGATGAAAGCATCGGAGGTTCTAATGGTATCGGCTTCGATGGCTTTACAGCTCGGTTCTCAGGCTCCTCGGTGCCGGACGACGCCGTGGATTGGGTTGGAGTGACGTCACTTTGAGCTCGACGGAGATTATCCTGGTTTTGACGATTCCTTCTTGCTTTCGCCGGATTGTAAAACCTATCCTCTCCGCCACGACTCCTTCCAAACTGCAATCCAGCTCCCAACATCTTGTGTAAAACCCTAAGTTACAACTCCTTCAATCTTACCAAAAAATCAATAAACCGAATCAAGAATGCGATGATTTTCGACGAACTAAGATAAAAAAAGATTGATTTTGGATCTCTTTTTAGTCGTAATGGAGATACCAAAACGGAGCCGAAACCCAAACTCAAACCAAAACCAAAAACACGTCGTCCGATGATCTTTATCGTAGAACAAAGGTGAACCAACAAGGATTTATCGATTTAGGCTTCGATAACTCAGAAAAACCCTAACAAATTGGGGAATAACCAAATCAAACGATGCCAACGAAGAAATGATCCCCTTTTTATGTCGATTTAATTGTAGTGGATGCCTAAGGACGATTCAGAAGCGATTTGATTTTTGATCTGGTGGGAAAATGGAGGTTTGAGAGGATGAAAGCGATGGGGAAGGAAGAGATGAAAACCAGTGTCCTTGAAGAAAATGGATGGGTAGGCGAAGATGGAATAACTCTTTAACTAATACCAAACAAAAAATGCGAAAGGGAAATATCTTTTAAAAACTTTATATATATATATATATATATATATATATATATATATATATATATATATATCTATATATATATATATATATATATATATATATATATATATATATATATAATATATATATAATAACTAGTACAAATCAACTCTTTATTTTACAACCTCAATGTTTTGTTTATTCAAGAAATATCACACTCGTGTATAACTGTGATTACTTTTAGCCCTCCATACATTATGTTCTTAACTATGTATATCATTATATTGATTTGTTTTAAAATATTTTAGATAATTTGTTAATTATTTATGTCATTATCTATGATTTATTATTACATTTAAGGTTATTCCGTCAACAACTTAAGGTTCACATCCAATTGTTTTGATATCCGTTAAAAATCAATCGATTTTGTTTCACTCTTACATAAACCTTGTAAGTACACGTCATTGAAAAATATTTGGATCTTCGAACGAAAACCAATCGTCAGACACTAGAACTCACAACTAAATCCTCTTACATTACACACTGTCTCATCTAAAAAGAGTTTGTGTATTATGTAACTGCCCATTTTGAAGGCTTGTATTGGAAAATTACGGTGTAGTTATCCTTTAAAAGAGTTGGTTGAATGATAGTAATTCTTGGATATGTTAGTAAAATAATAATGTTGAAAGTTGTATTGTTTTGGGAAAATTTTACAGATTGTGTAACAATAAGTTGTTAGTCGATAGTCGATGTGTCGGACTATGAAATCAAAAGTTAATGAGGTTTAAATGAGTAATTTTTAATCTTGAAATATAGCCAAGACAATATAGAGCGTGTGAGTGAATAAATTGTCTAAAACAAACCTCGTATTAGAGAGTTATGCACATCTAAAGATGGAGATTAAGCTAAACTTGAACTTATGTAAGTACATTGTCTGAATATGCATGTTTTAAGTGAAACACGACTATGTTAGGGGAATCATGACTATTCTTGAGTGTTGAAGTCCTAAAAATATGTGAAAATGACTTTTAATGAAGTAAGTTGTTATTCTAAACACTTTTTTTGTCAAAACACTAACACGACCGTACTTTAGGGTTGAACTGCTAAAAATGAGAATAAAATGTTGGAATCGGTTCCTAATCTCCCAAAATCATTCTCATACCCTTTGGAAACCATTTAAGTTGTAGAAAACACATTTGGAAATTCCTCAACACTTGGTTGAAGAGAAATGGTGAAACTTAAAGGAAGATTACAATGATTTCTTCACTTTCTATTAAATTAAGGTAAACCTTCTTATATCTTGTAAATACTAGCTGAACATAGTTGGATTATAGGAGGTTTTGTAAGCCCTAACTTATAATTGCTCTAAAGTGGCGGAAACTTGAATTAATAAGAACAATGAGAAGGTTAATTACATGTTTGTTGGTTAAAATCCTTTGAATACAAATTTAAAACTCTTATTGAGATAACTTGAGGTTTAATGGAAATAAAACCTACATGACTGAATTACTAAAACTCATAATTAAGCTTGTATTATTATAAATTAGATCAGATTAAAGATGTTAGTGAAAAAATTGAAAGAGATCAATTAGTATTTTAAGCTCAAATCATGTAAAAGTCGAATTAGTGTTGAGGTTTGTTAGAGAACCTTGTGAGGCTAAATACATTTTATGAATCTTGTTGTATTCTTGAGTTTTGAGACTCAACCATAATATGTTGTTTTGACATTTCTTGAAACAATAACTGATAAGGGACTTCAAGATATTAGAAACTCGTCCTCTAGTAAAAACCCAAGGTGAGTAACCATGCTTCCCCTTTGGTATATTGAGATTTATATTGTTACAATAGAATTATATGAAATATGTTATTATTAATCATTCTTGAATGATATGATAAGTTTGTATTGTTGAAACTATTATTGGTTATTGTTGACCGAAGAGGTAAGCATGTATAGTTGAGACCATAGTTGGTTATTGCTAGATGATATTGTAAGTTGGTATAGATGATTATTTGTTGTATGAGGTAGTAAGTTAGTATAACCAATAAATTATATATGGTTATTGATGTATGGTATAGTAAGTTGGTATAGTTAATAAATTATAGTTGATATTATTACATGGTGTTGTAAGATGGTATACTTGAAATTTATAAATAATTATTGTTGTATGTTGTAGTAAGTCGATATAGTTGATTTAGATAAACTATAGTTGATTACTAAAGTATGATATATTGAGCTTATACATCTAAATTTATAGATGACTATTGTTAAATGACATGATAAACTTTTATAACTAAAATTCTTAGCTAGTTATTAATTTATAATATGATAAGCTTATGTATTTGAGAACCATACATGCAGGGGCGGCTCAACCGGTTTGGGAGCTCTAAGCGAACCTAAATTTTGGGGCCCTTTGTACTCACCTTATACTGCAGTAAAAGTTGTACTAGTAACTTTGTAATCTTCTTGACTCTTCATTTGTACTCACCTTATGTTCATTTTTTTAAATATGTATTTCGAGTTAGTTAACGTTTAATCAAAATATTAGATTCAATTAACGTGCCTAGGTAATAAAAGATTCAAACTTTGTTCTTAAGAATGTTTTCAATTTCACTTCATTACATGTCAATAGAAACATAATATTTCATATTTTAAAATACATTATGTTTTCACAAAAGAATGATGTTTGTGATTCAATTACCATATCCTTGACTGGCCGTGCTGGTGTTGTGAGCTCCAATTGAAAATGAAACCTGAGATATGCATATAAGGTGTGTTTGGATCAATAAAAAAATAACAATATAACATGGAAGTCGATCAACCGAATTTGGTTTTCTGCTACAGAGTTGTTAATAATGAAGTATGTGCTATTTACTCAAAAATTAAAGTTCTCATGCTGAACTTGAAACTTATTAGTGCCATTTAGTGGTTTGACTAACACATCACCTAGTAAGTAATGAATGAGGCTTTAATTTGAACCTTATTTTAACAAATTTAATTCTTAATCAAAGGCAAAGCTAGTTTAACCCTCCGAAAACACTTCGTTTCAACATTTATCTGCTTGAATGAGAAGGAAGAAGAACAAAATGAGTAAAAATCAAACTCGCCTCCAAGAGAAGCAATTGGACGAAATAGGATTCACAGCCCTACGTTTTACACAAAATCGGTGTCATACAATTCTTCAGGAGAGAAGACACTCATTAATGGCGGAACGTTTCTCTAGAAAATTTCCACCTAAAATTAGAATTTCTCTACTTCAAATATCCAACATAAGCTTAATAGAATAATCGAGAAAGAAGCATCAACAATGGAGAATAAGAAGAAGAACATACTGTTTCAGACTTTCAGTTCTTGTCTTCTTGACAACCTACTTTTGATTTTTTGAATAATCAATCAACAATGGAAAATCAGAGGAAGAAGAACAGCTTCAAGAATCGACTAATCAAGAATCGATCAATATTCAATCGAGATTAGTTTCTGCAGTGAATCGAGAATCATGAGACGAAGAACAGTTGCTCAAACTTTGTGGCGTGCGCTAATGATGAAGGAAGAACTAATGAATCGGGATTTGCTGAATTAGGTTAATCGGGGCCCCTTAGAATTGGGGGCCCTAAGCAAGGGCTTAGTTCACTTAATGGTAAGGCCGGCCCTACATACATGTTAACTGATAATGTATTTTGGTGAGCCTTTGTGGCAAGACCCATTGCTGATAATTGATAATTTATTTTGGTGAGCCTTTGTGGCAAGACCTATTGACGATAGTTGATGATTAATTTTGGTGAACCTTTATGGTGAGTCTCATTACTAATAGTTGATTGTTTAAAATGGTAGCCTTTATGGCTGTAACACCATATTTGATTGACGTTAATTAAACTAGTAACATTTGTAACCGTAATACCATAGTTGATTGTTGTTAATTAAAATGGTAGCCTTTTTGGCCGTAATATCATAAATAATCGTTGTTAATTTAAATGACAATCTTTGTAGCCATAATACCATAATTTAGGCATGAGCAAAAGGACCGAACCGGCCGGAATCGGCCCGACCCGGACCCGACTTCGGCCAAAATCAAGAATCGAACCAGCTCGACGGTTCTACCGGTTCCGGTTTTTGCCGGTTTTTCGATTTTGGAACCGGTCTTCAAGAAATAGCAACATATTTTGGGGTTACGGTTTCGGTTTATGCCCGGTTATTGAATGTGATTATAAGCTCGAAGATCAATAACATGAATGCAAAACTGTTATGTTGTTTATATACATATACATTGAGTATATACATATACATGGATAAATATTATTGTATTTTGTTTGTTTTTGTTAAATATCCGAATGATAGGATACGAATAATTTTTTACATCATTTTATATTGTTAAAAATGTGTTATAGTTAGAGAAGATGGTACAGTAATGAAAAGATGAATATCGTAAACAAGATATTGGATTCGTCACTATCATCTATCAATCAGACTGTAACAAACCATTATTTCAAACCTATGTAATAATGTAGGTCAATTTGTAGTTCTTTTTAAAATAATAAAGACAAATTTTAGCATACTGTGTATATTTATATAATTGACCCTCAAAAAAAAAGTATTAAACAATCTCGATTGGGATGAACCAAGCGGTAGAGATTGTAACAAGGTTTCCAAAAATATAAAGAACACTAAAATCCGAGTTATAACGAAGAAGTTATGACCAATCGAAAATTCGCGACAAAACCGGCAAAACACGGTTCAGTGTAAAAAGTGAATTTTCAATAAAAGGCTTTTTAGCATTAAACAATCTAAATGAAAGTTGTAGATTATGTTAAACAAAGAACTTTCATAAAAAGAACGCCAAAATCTGACTTCGTATGAGGAAGTTATGATTTTTCTAAGTTTCAATATACACCTAAAAACTCGAAATAAAGATCGAGTGATTTTTAGCCGACACAACCTAAACGAGAATTGAAGGTATCGTCAATAGTAGTACAACGGTAAAAAGACAGACAAAAACGGACGTCAGATGAAGAAGTTATGAATTTTTAACG